CTACAGTGCCAAACCGGGAGTCTTCTCCCCATCTTGTTGGTAAGTGCCATTGAGTCGATTCCGACCCATTAGCGACCCTGTATAGGGTTTCCAAGGTGTCTGGTGAACTTGAACCACTGACCATTCAGTTCAAACTGACTTTGCAGTCCAGCGCATTAACCCACAGTGCCATACCAGGATTCCCTGTCTTAAGAGAGGGTTAGGACTAATTCCTCTCCATCTTGTCTCTTACCTCTTGAGTAACCTTCCTCCATGGTTTGTTCGTTCTCACAAATCCTTAACAACTATCTTACTCTTTTAAATATAAATCTCTATCTTAAAATATAAAACACCAAAATACTTTCTTTCTAATCTAGCCTCAGCCTGGATTCTTCTAAGAAATGCTGTTCTTGTTTCCATTCCTCACCTGCTGGTCAAGCTTTCAAAGCCTGCCTTTCTCCGCCCATGCTATTGCAGCTTTTCTAAGAAAGCTTATGGATGCAAACCTAATTGTTAAATGTTAACAGGGGCTTTTCGATTCTTACTTTCATGATCTCCCTGGAAGCAGCTGACACCCGACCAAATCCCAACTTGTGGGACATATTTCTCATGCTTTTCCTCCTGTTCCTTGCCTACCTTTCCCAGTTTCTATTGAGGACTCTTTTGAAATACCAGTTTCCCTAGGGTTCTGTCCTGGGTGAGTTTTATTCCACACTCACGTTTTCCCTACAGGGTACCACCCATTATTGCACAATCTATTTCTAGACCAGACTTCTCCTTTGTTTCAGGCTTAGATCTCTAGTGAAACATCTCAACATCTTGTCTGTTAGACAGAGAACCCCTCAGCCTTCCACCCAGATTCTGCCAGAGCACTTTCTTCTATCTTTGTAAAGAGACTGCAGTCTGGGCAGTCCCCTCGGCCTAAACCAAAAGCCCAGGAAACAGTCTACACTCTACCCTTTGTGTCCTTAATGTTCAAGCATCAATTTCTGTTGATTTTTGCCACCCAGATATTGCTCTCAATCAAAATGTATCTCTCAGTCTACTGTCAGTATCTTGGTTCAAAACCAACAAAAAAATCCCATCTATTCTTAGCATTAATTTATTTAAGTTACACACTAAATATTTTAAAATCATGTATAGTTATATAAGGTTAGAAATAAAACCCAAAAAAACCACAAAAACAACAAAAAACAGCAGTCTTCTGCCCTCTTCCCCATAGAACACCATTTCCTCCCCTTTGAGCCCATTATTTTGCTATTTACTAACCTATCTCTAAATAACTTCCTTGTGTTGCTAGTTGTTAATTTTTCAGTTTAGGCACATCTATTTACTTGCTACTAGAAAAGCATTCATTTACTTATCTAACAAATTTTATTGTATGCCTACCATTGTGTCAGGTACTGTTTTGGGTGCTTGGAATATAGCAGAGAGAATTAGACAAGTATCTTCTCTGGGAAGAAAGAGTACATAAAATAGAATATTATATGATTTGTTATCACATTCAGCTGACTCTGGACTGGTGTTGTTGGTAAGAGCCACTGAGTCAGTTCAGATTGAGTGACCCTGTAGAGGGTTTCTGAGACGGGAGCAGGAAGCCTCAACTTTCTCCTATGAGCAGCTGGATGGGCTCCAACAGCCAACACTGTGATTTGTAGTCCTCATCCTACAGAGCCACCATGCTCCCCATGTTGAGTAAATTGTAGTTGTTAGTGGTTATCTTGTTTAGACCTAAGTTTCATTCCTCCTATGTTCTGACTTTTGTAGCTGCGACTAACGACTAATGGCTGAGAAGCAAATAGCCTCCTGGGAAGGTACTAGTAGATTATGCTAAAAAAAATGGCTTGGGTCATTTTGGAGGAGCTGAAGTCATTGATTTCCAAATGGACTATAAGTAACTTGTTAAATACAACGTTAATATTTGAAGGACTACAGGTAACAAAGTAAGATCACATTGCTAAGGGAAAAGTCAATGATTAAATTTTCAAAATGATGCCAATATGGCTGGTTTTTCTGATTAACTGTGATACTTTCATTTTAGTGTAGAAGATACCCATCTCTTCCCTTTTTTCTTTTGACTGACAAAATGAAGTACAGTGATAATGCATGAAAATAATTGCCACTATTTTTTGTTTATCTCTGCTTTATTTGCTTAGTTATAAAAAGATACAATAAAATAAAATCAAGTTTCATAACTTAATTTAAAAAAATTTACCGAGAATCACAATTGGCATGTGTGTTTTTCTTAAAAAAAAAAAAAAAAAAAAAAGACTAAAATTGAATTATTTGACATAAGTAAAGAGAAAAAAACGATACCATATTATACATTTTAGGATTAAGTAGTTTATATATGTTAATCCTTTCTTGGGCTCCTGGTGTGGCGCTGTAGGATTAAGCACTGCACTGTGAACCACAAGATTGGCAATTCAAACCCACCATTTGCTCCTTGGAAACCCTGTACACGGTTGGTATGTGTCGAACAAACTCGATGGCACAGAGCAGCAATAGCAATCCTACCTTAAGACACCCCGGTGGCACAATAGTTAAGTACCTGGTTGTTAACTGGGAGATTGGTGGTTCAAACTCACTAGTGGTTTGAGGAAAAAAAGATCTGGCAATCTACTCCTGGAAACACTTATGGGGAAGTTCGATTCTCTCAGAGTCAGGACTGACTTGATGGTACACAACAACCCCTTCTTAATGAACATTTTTTTTCTGTTATATTTTGTACTCTTAAAAAAATAATTTAAATTAAAATATCAAGTTCATAAATTTGAGTTAAACTATCATTTGTACAGGAATAATCAAGAAATGCAGGAGGGCTGAAAAAAGGAATTTATTGTAATTCAATGAGGTTCTGTTTGTGCCATGGTTAGTTCTCCATTTTTCAAAGAAATGCTGAATATTTACATAAAATGTTTTAAACTACCATTTAAAAATGCAGTTTTAGAAATTTTATATAAATATAGAGCAGTCTGGAACCTGGGTGTCGCAAGAAGCTTGTGACTGGCTGCTAATCTGAAAGTTGGCAGATCAAATCCCCCCAGCTGCTCTGTGGAAAAAAGGGCTAAAGAACTGCGAACGTAAAAGAGTAGAGTCAGGTAAATCCTACGAAGTAATTCTACTCCTCAGACCATGCAAACACATGGAGTCTACTCAAGGGACACGTGGAGTCGCTATAAGTTAAGTGCTGATTCAATGGCATCTAACTACAAAGAAATGTAAGGAAAAGAATTTCTAGAAACAAATAAATTTTTTAAAAAGTTTCTCCTCAGTACTATAATTCTATTTTTGTTGTTGAGCACCATATCGAGTAGGGTCCGACTCATAATGAACCTATATGGGGTTTTTGAGGAGCAGCTGATGGGTTTGTACTACCAACCTTGTGCTTAGCAGTCCGGCACTGACCTACAGCACCACACCAGGACATTAGCCTCAAGTATTTAATTTTTCTGAGTAAGATCTAAAAATCATAAACAGCCAACATAACTATTTAAGACTTGTGAGAACTCCAGAAAAGATCTTTTGATGAGGAATATAAAATTACTTGTCAGAAAATCAGATACCACATTAAAAATCAGTTACTGTGGGACATTCAATGTTTTAGGCACATAATCAAGTACCTGAACATCTGATCAGTTACCCAACAAACAGGAGCTTAAAATCTTGAGAGACCATAAGAAGATTTTTAACAGATTGTTCCTTGTCTTTTGACCCCTGATGACTTTACCTAACAATTTTGAAATCTCTGTCTCAGCAGGATCTTAGGAAAGACAAAACCTGTTTAGATCAGGTGCTAATATGGTGGGAAAATAAATTAGGGTAATTTTATTCTATTAAGCACTTCATTGGTAGATGGGACTCAAGATTGGGTACAAGTGTTTTACTGATTAGTACTTACAGAAGATTAAGCCACCCTTAATTTAAAAATTTCACTTATTATTGGGCTTATAGCTTTTTTTTTTTTTTTTTGGAGTGAGGGTTAAAGAAAACAGAGGTAAATACTATAATACAAAATCTTGCAATAACAGTGACCTATGAGTAGATACCTGGACATAAACATGGCTGAATGGGTATGACAGGGAGAGTGGGAGTGTATCCACAAATATTTATATATTTGACAGAAGGTATTTGTATAATGGAATGTAACTTTGCTGCATACAAATCCATGAATGTGGTGGAGCACACGGGGCAGAATAATAAAAACTTCTTAGATAGTACCAAACACCTTGAGGGAATGAGTTACTGGTCCTGGGGCTCAGGATCACAGGGGGAAGCTACGGTTAACTGGCATAACTCTGGTGAACAGAGACTGGGATCTTAAGAGCTCATAAGCGGCCATCTATAGTACACCTCTTGGCATTGATTGTTTATTGTCTGGAGGAAAGTGGAGTGATGAAAACTGAAGACACATAGAAACAATTAAATCAACTGACTAACAGACCATGTGAACATTAGTCTTCATGACCCTGAGATCAGAAGAACTAAATGGTGCTCAGTTACCATTACCAACTGTTCTGAATAGGATAACATAAAGAAAGCACTGGATAGAGAGGAAAAAATGTAGAACAAAAGTCAAAATCATCAAAAAGACCAGGCTTATTGGTGAGACAGAGTCTCTGGTCCTTGGTTACCATTCAACATCCAGAACTGAACTCACCCTGGTGGCTCAATTTCCAGCCAAGCAATAATAAAGTATATAGGGGGACACCCACACTAGTGAGGTCCGCTCATCAAAGAATGGCCAACCATGGAGATTAAAAGAGCAGCCAAGTTCCAAAGGCTTGGGAAAGGAAAAGAAACACAATGGGATAAGTGATGTTACTTAAAGGGATTGCAATCACTGAGATAAAATATATGAATTGTTGAATGGGAAACTGATGATCTGCTCTGTAAATCTTCACTCCATTCACAATACGAAGTTAGGAAAGTTTTTGTTTTTTTTTTTAAGCTGAAGGAAGAAAGCTGATTATCTGATTGGTTAGAATATGCTAAAGAAAGAGATAATGGAAATGGATTACCTAATCAAGTAGCAACAGAAGAGTAAACTAAGGATGAAGACAAATATAGCAGTGCCAAAAACCACAATATATATGTTGAGAGGCAGATTCTGGAATCCGATGTTGGGCATTCTGAAGTTGTAATGCGGGAAATCCGAGCTCATGGATGAACTGTGGGGGAAGAAAAGAATGGGAAAAAATTAGGAATAAAAATTTAAAAACCAAAGTCACTTTTTTTTTTAAATACACAGTGGTAAATGTTTTCTAAGGATTAACCCCATTTGAAACAAATATGATTGGCAAAGTGTTACGCTTGCCATTGATTCATTTATCTCTATACAAACACTGAATCTAACTATGGTCCTGGTACTATTTTAGGGACTAGAGGTGCTGCCTAAAAGCTTTATGTTGGACTCATTCCCTAAAAGGCATTGTCACTGAAACAATGCCAGCTATCAATCAACATGAAAAATTTCAACTTCAAAGTGTGGCAGGGGGGTGGGAGTTAAGAAATTAAATGGTCAAGAAAAATGTAAAGCTATGTGGGAAAATTAAATGGGATATAAACTGTTTATAAAGTGTAACCTCAATTTAGTTTAAAAAAAAAAAGTTGGTATATTTATGTGTATGTGGCTATATTAAGGAGCCCTGGTGGTACTGTAGAATAAGCACTGAATTGCAAATTAGAAGGTTGGCAGTTCAAACCCACCAGCTTTTCCAGAGAAGAAAGATGAGGTCTTCTGTTCCAATATAGATTTACAGCTTTGGAAATCCTATACAGGGTTGCTGTGAGTCAGAATCAATTTGATCACAGAGGGTATGTGTATATTTGTGTTTATATATTTATATGTATATAGGACTTATGGTGTGGTGCTGTAGGATCAGCAATGGACTGTGAGACACAAGGTCAGCGGTTTAAACCCACCAGCAGCTCCTCGGAAACCTTATATAGGGTCACTATGAGTCGGAACTGACTTAATGCCACTTAACAACAACAAGAAGATCTAAGGAGTTCTGGTGGTCCAAGTGATTAAGTGCTTGGCTATCATCAAAAGATTGCCAGTTCTAACCCACCACTGTCAGCAGGAGAAAGATGTGGCAGTATGCTTCCACAAACCTTGTAAACCTTATGGGGCAGTTCTACTCTGTTCTATAAGGGTGTTATGAGTTGAACTTGACTTGTTGGCATCAGGTTTATATATATATGATCAATATGTATATCAATCAGATTTGATTCATAATGACCGTATGCACAATCAAACAAAACAGTGCCCGGTCCTGCACCATCCTCACAATTATTAGCTTGAGCCCACTGTTGCTGTTACTGTGCTAAAACAGTTTGTTGGAGGTTCCCCTTTTTTTGCTGGCCCTCTACTTTACAAAGTTTGATGTTCTTTTCCAGGGACTAGTTCCTCCTGATAACATGTCCAAAACGTGTGAGACAAAGTGTTGCCGTCCTCCCTTCTTAGGAACATCATGACTATACTTCTTCCAGGACATATATGTTTGTTCTGGCAATCCAATGTACATTCAATATTCTTAGCCAACACCAGAATTCAAATGCATCAATTCTTTTCTGGGCTTCCTTATTCATTGTCCCAACTTTCACATTCATATGAGGCTACTGATAAAACCATGACTTTGTCAGGTGCACTTCAGTCCTCAAAGTGTTATCTTTGCTCTAGAACACTTTAAAAGGGTCTTTAGCAAAAGATTTACCCAATGCCATACGTCATTTGATTTCCTGACTGCTGCTTTCATTGAGTGTTGACTGGGGATCCAAGTACAGTATCTTGACAACGTCAATCTCTTCTCCCTTTATCACGATGGTGTTTACTGGTCCAGTTGTAAGGATTTTTGCTTTCTTAACATTGAGTTGTAATCCATACTGAAGGATTACATAATCAGCAAGTGCTTCAAGTCCTCTTTACTTTCAGCAGGTTGTATCACCTGCATATCACAGGTTATTAATGAGCCTTCCTCTAATCCAGATGCCACATTCTTCTTCATATAGTCTAGATTCTCAGATTATTTGCTATGATTTCAAACCACTCAATATCTCCTTGTTCGGTTCATACAATTGCCTCTTGGTCTATGTACAGGTTCGGCATGAGTACAATGAAGTGCTTTGGAATTCCCATTCTTCATAATGGTACCTGTAAGCTTGTTATGATCCATACAGTTGAATGCCTTTGCATAGTCAATAAACAAAGCATAAGTACACATCTTTCTGTCATTCTTTGCTTTCAGCCAAGATCCATCTGATGTCAACAATGATGTTCCATGTCCTCTTCTGAATTGGACTTGAATTTCTGACAGCTCCCTGTCTATGTGCTGCTGCAACTATTTTTGAATTATTTTCAGCAAAATTTTACTTGTGTGTGCAATTAATGATATTGTTCAATACTTTCTATATTCTGTTGGGTTAATTTTCTTTAGAATGGGCACAGATATGTATCTCTTCTAGTCGGTTGGCCAGGTAGCTATATCTAAATTTGCTGGCATAGATTACTGAGTGTTTCCAGTGCTGCATCAGTTTGTTGAAACATTTCAATTGGTATTCCATCATTCCTGGAGCCTTGTTTTTTTACTAATGTCTCATCTCACAAATATAGTCAATTTGATCCCTGTGCGCTTGAACTTCTTCCTTCTTGATCATATGCTACCTCCTGAAATGGCTGAATGTCAACCAATTCTTTTTGGTACAGTGACTATGTATTCTTTCCATTTTCTTTTGATGCCTTCTGTATTGTTCAGTATTTTGCTGATACACTCCTTCAATATTTCAAGTTGAGGCTTGAATTTTTTCTTCAGTGTCTTTCAGCCTGAGAAATGCTAAGCGTGTTCTTCCCTTTTGGTTTTATAACTCCAGATCTTTGCACTTTTCATCTGGACCTTGTAAGATGGAATACACAGGGATCAAACTGACTATATTTGTAGGAAAAGGCAATGGAGAAATTCAGTATCATCAGCCAAAACAAGGCCAGGGGATGATTAGAACAGACCATCAATTGCTCATATACAAATTCAGGCTGACGCTTAAGAAAATTAGAACAAGTCTAGAAAAGCCCAAATAAGAGTATATCCCACCTGAATTTAGAGACCATCTCAAGAACAGATTTGATGCACTGAACACTAATGACTGAAGATCACAGGAGTTGTGGGGTGACATCAAGAACATCTCACATGAAGAAAGCAAAAGGTCTTTTTAAAGACAGGAAACAAAGAAAAGACCAAAAAGGATGTCAGAAGAGAGTCTGAAACTTGCTCTTGAACGCAATGTAGCTAAAGCTACTGAAAGAAGTGAAGTAACAGAGGTGAACAGAAAATATGTAATGTATACATATACATAAACACAAATGCACACAGGTGTCTATATACACACCTATGTGCATTTGTGTATAGACATACTGAGAAAACAATACGAAAAACACCACATTAAAGTGTTAATAGTCGCTGGTGGTTTAATGTAATTTTGATTTTCCTTTTTACATTTTTAATATTGAACAATAAAAATGATAATAGAAGCACCAGCAGTTAGCATCACTTTAATCTTTATTAAGTTTAGCCTTTTCTAAGCATGTTTCACATGTGTTACTTTACTTAATCCACATATCAATCTTCTATAATTTCACTCTATTTTCTAGACAAGGGGACTCAGTGACAGGCCATGTATGGGAGCTATGCTTGTCTGACTTCACTACCAGAGCACTGGGCCTCTATGCTCTAATTCATTGCCATTGAGGATGTGTTACAGAGTCAAACTGAGCTCCATAGGGTGTTCTTGGCTATGATCTTTATGGAAGCAGCCCTTCAGACCTTTCTTCTACAGTACTCCTGTGTGGATTTGAATTATCAATCTTTTGATTAGTAGTCAAGCACAAACTATCTGTACCACTCAGGGACTTCTACTGCCTTTCTTATGTTTTAATTTTATAATCAGAAAGTAGCAAATACTCTTAAGCATTAGTAAAGGTTCTATCTAGGAGCTCTGGTAGCGTAGTGGTTACAAATAGGGCTGCCAACTGCATGGTCAGCAGTGTGAAACTACCAGAGGTTCTGCGGGAGAAAGATGAGGTGTTCTGCTCCCATAAAGATGTACAGCCTCGGAAACCCTCTACAGGGTTGCTATGAGTTGGAACTAACTCCACAGTACTTAACAACGACAAAAACAAAGGTTCTATCTAGGTTGGTTTGTTGAGTAACACTTTATCACTACACAGTTAACTGTTAGATAAGCACTGGACTGCTAACTACAAGGTTGGTGGTTCAAACCCACCAGCCACTCCTTGGAAACTCTATGGAGGGTTGTTATGAGTCAGATCCGACTCAACTGAACATACTTAACAACAGCTAACTCACAGATAAAATTTCAGACACTGAGGTTGCTCCCTGGTATAGCTCATCCCACCTCACTAAAGAACTTTGTCATTTTGATTTCTTACAACATAAAGAGCTTCTCTTGGGTCTATTTATCAAGACCACTGACTGGTAACTGAGTTATTAACTATGACCACTGTCAAAATCTAAACTAAAACCACCAACCAAAAGGACACCTACTTTAATTTATGCTGGTAAATTAAAAATATGTTCATTGATCTTTTAAGTCCTTGTTGATTCCTTCAGGAGTGTGTTTATGCTGTAAACACCACTGAGATGCTTAGTTAGCTGTACATGAAACCTAAGTCATCTTATTACTTTAATTTCCAGCTTCTGACGCTGTAGGATAAGAACTGGGCCTCAAGGTAGGCAGTTCAAACTCACTAGCCACTCCACAGAAGCCCTATACGGGGGTTGCTATGAGCTGGAAATAACTCAACAGCACTTAACAACAACTTCTACTGGAGTCCTGGTGTGGTGCTGTAGGCTAAGCACTGGACCACTGATCGCTAAGCTGGAGATTCAAACCTACTAGCTACTTCTTGGAAACCCTATACAGGGTTGCTATGAGTTGGAATCGACTCAATGGCACATGACAATAACAGAAACTTATACCAAGAAGTGAATAGTTGCATTGAACAGCTTCATTTCATGGAAACTCTCCTCAAAGCTTAACTCCTTTTGAACTTTTGGCCATTTTTCTTAAGTCCAGAAACAGAGGACCCTAGGACCATCAAGGGAGAAAAGCATGAGCAGTATGTGGGACCTTAACCAGAAAGGCAGC